TATTTCTTCTTCCCTCCATCTACAATAACCATCCCCCAAACTCTAAAAGATCAATTCTTCCTAAAGAGTCCTATATGTGCACAATGTTAACACCTCAGAAAAAGAGTCCCCTTTCACCTCATAGCACATTCGTTCATTCTTACCTCATTACCTTGTTGTCTTAGCTCCATAACTTCACCCAAAATAAGTCTGTTCCTTATTTGCCTGTAGGTGTACCTTTTTTCTGAAATATAATAGCCAGGTGGAGGGATGTTGCCTTTGTTCCTGCAGAAATTTTGCCACTGAACACACAGAAAAGTGTTTCATACGTACTTGTGAGATGAATCAATCATTTCTATGAATGTCAATATTAGTACTAGAGTTTCTAACATTAGATTTTTTTCTGAAGGAAAATGCAGTAAACTAATAAATGAAAGTTTGATCTATAATAATAGTCACTTTTTTCCATAATTGTTTTTTATATAACATGAACTTTTTAAATTTACTGTTATTCAAATATTTATGTCGGTGATGAAAATCAGGAGCAAAGGTGGAAAAGATTGAACTACTTATTGCTAGATACAAGCTTTGGCATTTCTTTGAAGTGCTAATGATTATCAGGTTGGAATTCACACATATTTACTTCTGTACCTTGGCATGAAATACCCACTTTCTCAAAAGAGAAGTATGAAATTAAATAAGACAAGTTATGAAGGACAGTTTAATCTATATGCTTTGCCTAAGTTTCATCTAAAGAAATGGTAACACAGTGCAAAAATCTAGCTAATGTGTGTGTGTGTGTGTGTGTGTGTGTGTGTGTGTGTGTGTGTATGTAAGGGTGTTTAAATAAAAATAAAATAGTAAATTCTATGTTGTTACTATGTAAAAAAATCTTGATTTGATGTACAATGCCATTGATTAATATCATATTTCAGTATAAAATATGAAGGCTTCTAGATTAAAGTATGTTTATTGTAGCAATATAAACATATTTTTCTCTTGTTACATACAATAGAAAGTGTCCTAACTGGTTGTTCCTGGGATATGAGAATTTGTGTCCTCTAAATACATAAGTTGACATCCGTATCCCCAAGGTGGTAGAGCAGAAAGTGTAGGATTTGAGAGGCTGATAAGATCAGAGCCCTTATAGGTAGGATTAGTGCCCTTATAAGAGGCTCCTAAGAACCCTTTTGTACCCCTATAAGGTGAGAACACAGATGGTGATGTCAATAAGGTAGAAAGTGGGGGCCTTTATCACACAATCTTCTAATGTCTTAATTTGGCTTTTCAGTCTCTAGAACTATAATGAACAGCTCTTTGCCACTTTTAAGCTGTAATGTTTATAGTGTTTTAGTAGATCTTCCCAATGAACTAAGACAAGCCTGTCGCTTCTCCCAGAGGTCACAACACTTTTAGGTGTATTCTATCGATATCATTTCCCAGATATAGACATGAAAGCACTGCAAAAATTTTAAAGCATGTATTGATTTTTGAAAACTTGAAATTTAACGTGTTGTAAACACATTAAAGCACCTCAATCTCAGTGGCTTAGAATAATAGGCATCCTTTTAGCTCACAAATCTGGCTGTTTTCTTCCACTTTGGACAACCTCAGTTCATGATATTCTATGACCACTTGCCATCTAGGTCTGAGGTTGTCCAAAATAACCAGGGTTAGGCAGCAGACAACCAGAAACTGCCCTGCTTGGCTGAATGGATTCAGACTAACTCATCTAAACCTATTTATTGCTGTTTTGCTTGTTCCTCCCCATAGAAGCCAAGAAAAGACACTTGCTAATAATCTCTCACTATTTCCTTTGCCTTTTGTCTGGCCTCATATACCTTTCTGTGGCCCCTTGAAGTGGGGTATGTCCCTCTTCTTGGATCTTTGAGTAGAACAGTCTGTTTTTTTTTTTCCCCAGTGATAATCATTTCCTGATACACTGACTCCAGCATTCCTTAAAAATATATTGCATTTTAAAACAACTGGATATGTTCCTTCACCATCTAGCAGCCCAGCCTGGCTTACATGGCGGCTTCAAGAATGGCTGGTTAAATACAGAAGCACATCACTCATCCCCCACACCCCTCATTGTGTCTGCTGCTGTCTCTCTCACTAATGCAGGGCACTTGGCCCCAGTGGCAGTCAATGTCCAGGACTGGGGGCAGGGAGAGCTCTGGCTGTGGGGAAGGGTGTGACCATAGGGAAGGATGTGGCTAAAGGGAGGGTGTGGCTGTAGGGAAGGGTGGGGCCACAGGAACCCTGAGCTGATGGAAGAATTCTGATCAGTCTACCACACAAACATTTCATGTTTCAAATCAACTTTTCACTTTCTTTTATTTGACTAACCATTAAATTATGACCCCTGAAATAAGCACGAACTATTCTACCACTTTGGGCAAACATATTTTCAACTGTCATGATACTAAGGACTGTTATTCAAAGGCTGAACTTACAAGTTAGAACCAAATTCCCTTTCATTTCAGGAAGTGGCTCCTTGTGACTAGAGAGATTGGTCTATACAAATCACTCAAGATTATAATTATAGTCATTTTAGTCAAAACACAGAGGTGATGGTAGCCTTAAACTATCACCCATAGAATCTTTTAAACTTTAAATATAGTGTCCCTAAAATTCTCATTATTCTAGATAACTAACATGGTCAAAAAACCTTTTGACTAAAACTTACAGACCTTTTTCTGATAATAGGTTTTTCACACTCTTCAATTTTTTTTTCTTCCAAACTAAATCACTTTAGCCTTTTCAGCAACATTCAGAATACAATTTTAAACTCCCTTGTTTTACAATTTCTCCTGCTTTGCCATTCCCCACCATTACTTTCATCTACTGACCTGCTGGTACCATAAAATGCAGTGGCAGGCCCAAGTCACCCAGAAGGAAGAGAAAATAAGCAGAAGGGGGTTGCCAAGTCTTATTTCCTCCTAGAATTCTCTTGTCTCTGAGAAGAAGCACACACAGCAGACAGAACAGTACTGCTCTTACTGTGTTTTTCTCGCATTCCAAAAATGGTCATGAAGAAGAAAACCATACCCCTGTCCAGTACGAGACTCTTTGATTATTTTCTTAGTAAGCCAACACTAAATTATTCTTTTACCAGATTCTGGAATCTGTTAGACCTTAAATTGAGTCACAGCCTAACTACTTACTAGGCACAGAAACTTTAACAAGCTAAGATGAATGTTGGCTTTGACTCTTCTTAACATATAGATATAGGAAGCAATGAACACTAGTCCTTGAAGAAGTCACAATTGTTTGTCTCATCTGGGACCTCTACCCCAAGAGTGATCTTCATTAAAAGAGGAATGCAAAATGCAGTTGACATAGACATGGAAACTCTTTGCAAAGATGGAGTTTTTGTAGTAAGACCAACATGCCAATCACGTGGAAGTAGATGGATGCAGATTTCTCCTTGTTTAGAATGTCAGTCAATTTCTTATCTCTTCTTTCTTCCGTTCTGGGATGCTGGTGTGATGGGTCTGGGTAGGAAAATATAATCTTCTTGGAAAATTTTAACATGAACCAGCACAAAATTTAAAGATATGTAGAGCCGGAAAAAAAAAACGCTCTTTACCAGCTGCAGGGGACAGAGAAACATGAAGGCCCAGAGCCCGTGCACAGTACCAAGAATAGATTTGATTGTTCCAACCCCTGAACCAATGTTAGCTGAGATTCATTGTGGTTTTCAATTTTTCAAAACAGGGAAAATTTGTTATTTTAGCAATAGAGTTTTGTTTTCTATCAGGAAATTATGTCTATTGTTAGTAACCAGATCACAGGATTGCTATGAGGATCAAATGGAGGAATGTAGATGTAAGTTTCAATTCAGTGCCTAGCAAGTAGCCCATACTCATTAAATGTTATGTGTTAATTCATAAACTCTTTGGGAATTGAGTCTTGCATTAATATTAACTGTTTTAAGGTGTCAATCAGCCAATAAGCTTCAGTGTATTGCCAGTATGCCCCACATTGGCTGTATCTGACTTCAGAAGACTAGGTTTTAGGACTATCACATAACATAACTTCAATCTTGACAAATATTTAGCTATCTCTATGAATTAACATTACTTCTATAAAAGTAAGCTGTCTTCCTTTGCTAAATCTTCTGGAGAAGTTTTTAACTCAGTATCTCTTTATACAAAGAATCAATTTATATAAAAAAGATAAGGTATTTTAAATCACAGAGAAATGTTATGTTTTATCTCAGAAAAATTTCTAAGGCAATAAAAAATATCACCATTCTTCTTTGATTTCTTTTCTGCATTGCACTTGCAAAGATCTAAGGGAATCAGAAGGCGTGCCATTTCAGAGGAGAAAGAAAGAGCTCCATGTAACACCTCAACATCAGTTTTGTGGAAGGGTCATGCTTCTGAGTGAAGTTATAAATGCACTGCTTGCCAGTATTGAGCCTGAAAATTTTTTCTTGTTTCACTCATAAACTCTGAATAATATTATCTTAACTTAATACTTAAAGTAATACTTTTGGGATTATTAACCTTAAGTTTCTACTAAATATACTTACCACCCGGGGTTTTGTTTTTTGATTTATTTGATGGGAGAAGTGTACAAGGATATCAGTATGTATAACACCAGCCTGCTGTTCTACCACACAATACCCACTAACTATGAGGCTCGGGATATGGTAGTCCCACTTCAAGAAACCCAGTTTTGTTCATTTAATATCAAACATATACTCTCTGATCAAGAAGGAAGACTATATAGTCACTGGAGTTTCTCAGTTTGTATCTTTGAAATGAGCCCTAAATTGTATCAGAGAGATTGAATTCACATACACATAGGTCCCATCCCCCCACACACACACACATGAGCACGTACATTTTATATGTGGCAGTACAGGATCATGGGCATTTCCTAAAGCAAATGTGTTACAGTGTATAAATAAACCAAATGTCTTTGTCCGTAAAAGTGCATAAAAGCTACTGTTTGCTAGCTGTCAGAGAGTCATTGTCAGCAAAATCCTGACTGCCTCCTCCTTTTTGCAGATGACCTCTGTCAGCAGGAAGACAGTGACGCCCCAAGAGAATATGATGCTGGGCAATTTGCAGGTCTTCTCCATGGATCCTCTCCAGCCTGTGAGTCTCCTGAAAATCCATTTCATCTGTATGGAAAAAGAAATCAATGTGAAGACGGACCAGACGAAGCCAGTCTGGCAAACAGTCCTTTGCCTTTCAAACAGACTCCGATAGAAAATAACTCAGAGCCGTTGGTAAAGAAAATTAAACCGAAAGTGGTCAGTAGAACAATTTTCCACAAAAGAAGCCACCAGCTTGAGAACCACACCATTGTTGGCACAAGAACACCTCGGAGTGGATCCCGCCACGGAGGCCAGTGGGGTGTGAGCACAGGGGGCTTTGTGGAGAGAGCATGTACTCTGGGGAGGATAAGGTCATTGCCTAAAGCCCTGATTGACATGCACCTATCCAAAACTGTCTCTAAGTCCGATTCTGATCTCATTGCCTACCCTACAAAGGACAAAGTGAGAGTTAACTGGAGCGAATCATCAACTGCCGAACGCAGTTCTAAAGATAATTCTGAAAGAACACCTTCCTTCACATCTGAATGGGAAGAAGTAAGCCCAACTTTTCATGTTGCTCTTTATATAGGCTTTGGAGCTGAATGAAGTTTGGAAGAGAGATTTTTGGTTTTTAAAATCTTTCAGAAGCAGAAGGGGTGGGGCTAGGGTTAATAAATGCATACAGCTTCTACTGGAAGGGAAATGGATAATACACAGTAATTTCAGAGCAATTGGAAAAATTAGCACATTTCTATACGTGTGGGGGACACTGTTTCCATAGAAATTGGTATCAAGCAGAAGTAATAAGTAGCTATGAGGCACAGGAGAAGGCTCCTGTCATGTCCCACCAGGCACTGTGGCTGACAGTTTGAGGAAAATCTTATTTTGTTCTGTGTCATTTTGCTGCTTGCTAAACTTTTTGTTAGCATGCCTTTCTTCTTTAAAGTGTCTTATATTTTAGGAATAGTTTCTTATGATTTTAGCCCTAATGGGAAAGCCATCATTCCTGGCTCTTCTTCCAGAACCATGCAACAAATACATGTCATTTAATATTTTCCATTTGTACCTATCAGAGGTACATTAAACAGAAGAGTCATCTCAGGGTCAAGTCTCACTACTTTAAACTCCACTTAAAGACAAAGTCTGAAAGAATTATTCAGAAAATAAAGGGCCCTTGTAAAACTGTACAATCTCATTTCTCCCTAAGAGAATTACATCATAAAATAATAATGCTTCTTGCTTTTTTTTAATTTCTTAAAGAATAAACCAAGTTTCTATCGACATTTTATCTTAACATGTCACATTTTTGTTTGTGAAAGATCATGCCAGGTGGATTTAGCTTTGAAGTACATGAGGTCACTTTGATGTTCTGAGAATCAAAAAAATTGAAGTGATTTTGATATTGACTTTCTGAATTGAGCTGTTTGAGAAAAATCACTTGAAATATCTGCATTTTTTTATGCTGAACAAATTGAAACACTTGAGTAATGTTCATTGTCCCTCTGGAACCTTCCGTTTTATTCCAATGACTAATATGAGGAGGGGGAGATTTTAGATGGCTATTTTGAGTTTGGAATCTAAATTTCAAACCTACATACTGATATCTATTTTATAAAATTTCAACTCCTTGAAATCTTGCTTTTTGTGAGAAAAGATTAAAACATTTAACTTGTATATTTAAGTTGCTTTGATAGCTATATTCTTTAGTTAATGGCACGAACTATTTTGTGGTTGCTCAATCTAATTAGTTAGAACTTGACTCCAATAACCATACCCACAAACTGAAACCTTCCTTTCCTACTGATAGTGCATGACTTCTGGGAAAAGGAGAATGGTGACAAAGAATGTAGAACTTGACACTAAACCTACCCTCTGTTCTTCTTTTTCTGGGTTTAAAGAGTTCATAGTAGCCCATGGCAGTTTAGTCTCCAAGTGGGTTACATAGTAATAGGAAGAGGAACTGCCTCTGACATAATCTGATTGGCCTGGGGGAACAGCCTTACCAGGCCACAGAAGATGACAATGCAGCCACTTCTGATGAGATCTGATAGACTAAGATGAGAAGGAAGGAGAGAAGGACCTCCCCTATCAGTGGACTTGGGGAGGGGTATGTGTGAAGAAGGGGGAGGGAGGGTGGGATCAGGAGGGGAGGAGGGAAGAGCTTATAGGGGGATACAAAGTGAATGAAGTGTAATTAATAAAAATAAAAAATAAACTGACCAAAAAAAAAGTTTATAGTTCCTAACTTAATGAGCCATCTATGCATAAAAAGGGTAAGTTCATAATTTATGCATTTTTAAAACTCAAAAGATGTTTGCTTGCCTTTAAATCTTACACTGTTGTCTTGAATTCTAGGTTGCTGTGATAGTGACACCAAGAATGTATGCCTGTGGCATTTTGTAGAGGAATTTTAATCCAACAACATGGCTACTCTGGCACATCCAAAGACCTAGGTCTCTGTGATCCAGCTGGAATACACACACACACACTTAGTATACCCTTTTAATCCCAGACAATGCCATCTAATTAAGGAATAGACAAAGTGATGAATAGAGAAAAATTTGACAAAATAAGTAAAACTCTTACAAGACATCCAACTCTCACAAGACAGAAAAGAAAAGCTATGTAAGAGCAACACAGAGACAGTAGAGTTGGCTGAGTAGAGTGAAGAATGTGGGTACATTACAGAAATACAGTAGAGTCCATGCAGTCAATACAATAGTACAGTGGAGTTCTGTGCAGTTTGGTTGAGTCTGGTGTAGGCAGTTCAGTGCAGTTCAGTTCATGGAGTTCAAAGGCAGTTTTTCCAAAAAGAGCAATTCAGTGAGAAGTAGGGAGAAGCCAGTTTGAATCAGTCAGCTGGGAGAAGAGTTTTGAGACAGAATACCTAAGTTGAACCAGACAGACAGAGTTCAGAAAGAACTAGAAAGGGTAAGAGCTTAACCAGCAGTAAGTCTCAGGGACTGAAAACTTTCTAGACCTAGGTTAGCAGATGGTAGCTGGCAGCAGAAGTCTTCAAGGTCATGGCTTGTAGAATATTAGATTGTATGGAGGCTAGAAGCTTCCATGTCCAGGCCTAGGGAGAGTTAGATAGAAATCTCTGGGCTCAGCCCAAACCATGTGTTCATAAAGCTTGGGTATGGCTATCATCTCATCCCATCATCTGAGGAAATAAAAACAACCTTTACAGCATTTAACAGTTATTTCTAAATGCGATGATAAAAATGCATATAGCAATCCACTTACATGGCTTTTACTTTTCACAGATCGACAAAATAATGAATTCTATTGATGTTGGAATCAACAGTGAACTTGAAGAGATGAATGGTGAGATCACAAGTAAAGAAACTGTCTTCTACACTATGATTAATAACTATGCCTAAGAAATAGCCAGAAAATGATCAAAATTCTTATTTAATTTTGCATTTTATCATGAGTAGCTGCATAGTATTTCCTTCAACTCTCAGGTACAACAACCTTCACCTAAAACATCAAGCTGAGAATATTGATTTGGCAAATTGGGAATATTTCCTGTGTTGCTCTTTTACTATGTCAGGTAGTATTGATTAATGAAGCTTCAACTTAAGGTTGAATGCAGTACAAAGCACTTCAAAGTGGTGTGGAATCTGATGATTTAATATACTATATTTCATCCAGTGAAACATCTCATTTGTCATGGAAAAAGTAATTAACAACTTCTAAGTTTTAAACACCATTTGTCAAAAACTATATGTCACTCATCTTCTTTTATCCCAGAATGACTACCAGAGTCTCTCAAAGAGTATTTTTGACTATCACTATTTAATATATTTAATATATTCTAGAATAGAAGGCCATCCCATCTGAAACCTTTTTCCTGATTTTTTGCTTAATACTGATAGATGATGTAAAATATCAGATATCTATTTCTTTAGAATCACAATATTCACATTAAAGAAATTAGACTTCATTGTCAGCACGGCCTAGGATGAGGAACTTGCGTAAAAAGCAAGATTTTAGGGGGTGCTAAACAACATAGTCATCAAAACACAAAGTATTTTAATGGAATAATTTAAGTTTTCAAAATTAACAGTCCAAATCAATGATGAACAAACTATCAAAATGTAAATAAATACAAGCTACAACCTCACTAGGATAATTAAAGTCTCGTCCTATGATTCCTAAAATGGCTAACAGCAGCACATGCCTTGTCAGGGAACTGGCAGAGCCACAGGCAATGCCGAACCAAGTGCTCCTTAGCTGTCCAAGCAGCAGAATGGCTGTGCAGAAAAGCACTGAGCGCTCCGGCGGCACTGCTGCCCCTCGACAGCCAGCCAGCTTGTCACCCTGGCGATGGGGCCGAAACCTTGCTGCAGCGCGATGACTCTGCAGCCTGGTCACATGTCTGGAAAGATAGGAGTGGGGCGGTTCACTGCTCAACCGCCAACTTGCTCTTCCCATCACAGCCTTCTCCCATCTTATTACCTGAGAAGGGAATTCTGTAGCAGATCAGTCTGTGTCAATAGCAAGCTCCTCAGAGATTGGCAGCAGGTACCAACACAGGCATATTACTCTAAACCTTTATACCAGATGTCTAGAGTTCCCACAGCTAGTCTACAGCAGAAGGACCATGTCCACGCTAAACAGGAGCCGGGGGAAATATGCACATTCCATAGCAAAAGCACACGCTCGCGGACACGCGTCGGCGCATACACACACCACATACAAAAGCCTGATGTGAAAGTCATGAAAGGCCCCAAATCTTACTGTCCTTAAAATAATGAAGTAAAGCCAACATTTCAGTATTAGCTAAACCCACCGCTGCTCCCGTCAGTGTTCTTTCTATGCCAACTTTGGCCGTCTCACCCCCACCGTCATTTCCTAGTCTCTGCAACAGCACTGGAATGAAAGCAGAGACACCATCCACAGGAATCATTATTATTGACAAAGGCTGGCGCTGCAGGTGCATTAGCTTTGCCTCTTAATTACACACTAATTATGTACTAAGTGATTGGCATGTAACATTCCAATTGGTCCTTAGGCTGGACATAAATCACAGCTTCAACAGCCTGCAGCATACGCGCGCACACACACACATACATACATACACACATACATACACACACACATACACACACACACACACACACACACACACACACACACACACACACACA